CTGGTTCATGGCAGTGGCGGGGCTCAGTGGTGTCTCAGATGTTGCCCTGCTGGTGTCTCCCAACATGCAGCAGGCTGCTGCCACCTGCGAGGTCCGGCTCCGCTACTTCGTGTGGGACTCGGGTACGAGCTGACGCAGGCTGGCCTGTATACAGAGGTCTTTACAGTGGTGGCTCCCAAACCTTTTCACACAAACGCCTTTCTGTGTCACCAGCACCTCATGCCCACCAGGGTATTGATGTTTGAAACAAACTTAATCCATTGCATGTGTACTTATATTATTGTTGTTGTTTTGTATAGATTTTTTAATGCTTTTACAAAATTAAGTTGTATAACTTTGCGCTCAGAATACTATTTTAAGTGAATTCCAAGCTAACTAAATCCTGACAGAACAGCAAGAAACAGAATTATTTTTTACGGTCATTTACTTGGCAGATAGAACATAAATTGAAGCAAATAAAAGCAATTTAATGATGACAGAAGATGGTGTTTTTCCCCCCAGAAGAAAAATAATTAAGATACTTGAAGTGTGAAAGAGCACAACGACAAGTCGTGAGAGGTGACAAAAAAAACCGCCTTCTCAACGATAAGCGGGAGAAACGCAGAGCTGCTTCTCCAGCTCTTGGGTCCATAGGGAGGATTTCCGCACAAAACGTTTCCAGATTGCGGGTTTGGACATTATCCCCCGAGTCGCACTTGAGTTTGACTTTCGTAAAGCGTCCGGCGACGAATCCGGACCCGTGCTGTTCAGTGGCCTTTCGCCCCGAAACCCAAAACTGGGTTTTTCGTACAAGCTGTTGCAGTAGAAAATGGCGCCCGATCCCGGCGGCGAGACACCATTTCCTTCCCTCGACCGAGGCGGCGCCGACGCAGGTGGTGTCTCGCGCAGCCGCGGGCCGGCATATTGGCGGGAAGCTGCAGAGGGCGCGCGTGAGCCCGGGTCGAGTCGCGAGCGCAGGTGGTCGCGGTCCCGGTCTTTCTCGCCGCCGGGCGCTCGCGGAGCCGACCACGCCGTAAAACCACTGTCTTCCTCCGTTTAAACTTGAGGTAAGCGGGACGCTGCTCTTTAGGGAGAAATAATGTCGACGAGTACGGGTATTTACGGGTAAATGTATTTACTTGAACAGTTCTTGCGGTGTAGCTGTAGGGTTCGTGACGGGGGCGCTTGAAACTCGGCCTGTACGGCGGGGGCGGACGGTAACGCTGGACGAAACGACCCACAGGCGCCGCTAACGAAAGAGTTGATTTAACGCAGCTAAAAAGTGTCTTCTTTC